CCTTCTTTTGAGTTGCAAAGACATAAAGCAATAGAAATGAGAAAACGTGTCTGCAGTCAGACGCTCCTGCTCCAGGGGGCGGTGGGGTTACACGTGGTGATCCAACCTGCTTTTTAACAGTATACTCTGGAGATGTCTTGTGTCCATGTACCTTTAAAAAAATGTTTATTTATTTTTAGAGAGCGAGCGAGCGAGAGAGCACAAGCAGGAAAGGGGCAGAAAGAGAATCCCAAGCAGGCTCTGCACTGACAGCACAGAGCCCCATGTGGGGCTTAATCTCACCAACTGTGAGATCGTGACCTGAGCTGAAATCAAGTCAGACTCTGAACCAGCTGTGCCACCCAGGCACCCCTGGGCCCTTCTTTAATTTTTAAGTAACAGTTGGGGGTTTATCTTTTAATCACAGAGGAAACACTGACCATTAAGTAATAGAAACAGGCTGACAGTATGGGCGGAATTCTGTAATTTGGCCAAATGTTGAGTCTGGGTATTTGTTTACCACAGTGTAACTGCATTTAATGTATAATCCATTGCTTTGAGCGGACACAGCAAGAGACAAGCCAAGAAAAGCCCTCCCCCCCGGTCCTCTTCATTTCCACCTTCCCACTGAACAGATGCGCCTCCAACATTCTGAGCAAATGGGCAGAAACAGAGGCACAACAGAATGGCACACCCACCGACACTGTCATCACCATCGTGACTTCTGTCATTGCCAAGATGATTGCTTCTGCTTTAAGTTTCCAAACAGATGCAAGCAATTCACCTGGAGATCAGACTCTAAATTTAGAGGATCCCTGAATTACTGAGCTACATGATTTTTTAAAAATTATGATTCCTTTTCCCCTCCCACAGTAAAATAGCTTTATTGAGGAATTCAAACATATCAAAATATTAAAAAGCAACAAACCTTCTGAAATCCTTATCTCTGAAACTATCGCCCTTAGATTCCACGAATGTTTTTTATATATGGATGTGGGGGTGTATGCATGGATATATACATATGTGCAAAATATATACAAATATACACATGGTTTGATGTCCTATTTAATGGATGAGTCACGATAGCTCTGTTATTTTATGGCTTGTAGGTGGTGCTTCTTCCATGTTCAACAGAAGCAGATGCGCACGCGCATGCACACACACACACACAGTATTCCAAAAATATGTCAGACATGTTAAAGAGTACTTTTTGACTGCGGTGCCTGGGTGGCTCAGTCTGTTAAGCATCTATCTCTTGATCTCTGCTCAGGTCATTCATGAGATGAATACTTTTTGACTTACCTCCCTCCTTCCACCAGATCCTGCAAACAACTATTGTACACATGTGTCCTTTCATAGCTCTCCCTGCTCAGATATAATGTACTGAATTATATGCTATATATATATTGTATATGTACCATGCATCTATATATATAAGTGCATATAGGGATTTTATTTCATAGTTGCTTCATAAAAAAGCAAGACCATATAATATGCAATTTTCTGTATCTTGCTTTCCTTAATATATTGTGGAAACCCCTCCAAGTCTAAGACAAATAATCCAATTTGCTCCTAGGTTTTAGTTCTTTATATAATTTATTCATTTGGATGATCAAGATCTTAAAAATACAGAAGTGTATACAATGGTGTCTTCTTCTCAACTATGTTGTTTCACCACTCAGTGTACCCATGTTTCCAATGTTGTTGGATTTTTATATATTTACCCAGAAGATATGCCATGCATATACAAGTTACATGAAAGTGTGTGTTCACATTTATGTAATTTCGCCCCCCACTCACTGCTTTTTTACCCAAATAATCACTAACACTTTGTCATAAAACTTCCTGGGTTAATCTGATAGGTAAATTGCATTAATTTACTATTTTAACTTGTGTTTCTTTTATTATGAGATTGGACACTTTTATGTATTCAAGCACCATTTGTATTTTTTTCTATGAGCTGTGTGTTCACAACTGATTGGTTTTTTTTTTTAAATCTTACAGCTTTTCACAAACTTTTTATGTGTATGAAGGATTTTAGCCCCTTGTCTATAGTATGAATTGCAAACATTTCTCGTTTGTCATTTGTCTTTGCTTAGTTTTTTTTTTTTTTTTTTTTTTTTAAACAAATAGTCTTTGAGTCCCTGCTTTCAATGCTTCTGGGTATATACCAGGCTGCCTTCCTCGAACAAGGTAGACAGAGAGCAAAGCCGCTTGTCCTGTGGCCGGGCCCCCAGCCCTGCGCAAGGGAGTGTCATGCATAAGGCACACTCGTTGTATGTGCTGGCGAGTCCGTGGGAGGAGCTCACCCAGCTTACTGCTCTCTTTCTCTCACTGTTCTCCTGGGTCTCAGCTTTGGAGCATTGGTCTATAAAATCCAGCTCCAGGTCCAAAGTGGAGGAAACACCAAGATGTTTTGTTTTTCCCCTTCGTTCTCCCAAGTTTTAAATTAATTAATAGTCCAGGATTCTTTAATATGTTTACACTGTTCACCTCCTTAAAGTCAAAGGAGGAGTTAATCAAAATTAACAAATTTTATTTAATATTTATTTATTCGTGCGCATGTCTAGGTTTCCAGTCTCACTAAAAGAGAAAGTCTATCATCTATCTATCAATCATCTATCTATCATCTGTCATCTATCTATCTTCTATCTATCCTATGCTTGAACATGTTTCTATCCCTCATCTCTCTCTCTCTTTGAAAATAGACTGAATTTTTAACAGCAGTTTTAGATTCACACCAAAACGGGAAGGTACAGAGATGTGCCACATACACAGCGTCCCCACACATGCGTGGCTTCCCCCCACATTTCCAACGCCTCCCATCAGAACGGCTCCATTGTTACAGTGGATGAGGCTGCACCGAAACATCACAGGCACCCAATGTCCACAGTTTCCATGAGAGTTCACTCTTGGGTGTTGTTCATTTCATGGATTTGGACAAATGTCTGACACATGTCCAGCATCATGATATCCCATAGAGTATTCTCATTGCTCTAAGAATTTTCTGTGCCCCACCTGTCTGTCCCTCTCTTCCCACCTAACCCCTGGCATTCACTGGTCTCTTAACTGTCTCCATGGTTTTGCCTTTCCCAGAGTGTCATATATAGTTGGAATGGTCTTTTTAGATTGGTTTCTTTCACTTAGCAATAAGCATTCAAGTTTCTTCCACGTCTTCTCATGGCTTGGTAGCTCGTTTCTTTTCAGTGCTGAATAATATCCCATCGTCTGGATGTGACACGGCTTATTTATCCATTTACCTGCTGAAGGACATTTTGGTCGCTTCCAATCTTGGCAGTTATGAATAAAGCCGCCACAAATCCCTGCATGCAGGTTTTTGTGTGGACATGTTTTTCAACTCCTTTGGGTAAATACCAAGGAGTGCAATTGCTGGATGGTGCGGTTACGTACAACCCCTGGATTGTTCGGTGTCTAGTTTTGTGAGAAAGTTGCCAAACTGTCTTTGAAGGTAGCTGTACTGTGGGGCGCTCCCACTGGCAACGGATGAGAGTTCTGTTGCTCCACATCCTCACCAGCATTCAGTCTTGTCTGCGTCTGGGATCTCGGCCATTCTAGGTGTGTGATGTTTTCTCGTTATTTAAGCTAGCGCCCACCCAGTGACAAATGATATGCAGCATCTTTTCACATGCTTCCTTACCATCTGTTCACCTTCTTTGGGGAGGTGTCTGTTCAGATCTGTGGCCTACATTTTACTCAGCTCGTTCATTTTGTTACTATTGGGTTTTAGGAATTCTTTGTATCCTTTGAACAGGAAGGAGGACTTTTAGCAGATGCACATCTTCTGCAAATATTTTTTCCCAGCCTGTGGCTTGTCTTCTCATTTCTCTACAGTGTCTTTCACAGAAGCTTTTAAAAATTTAATGAAGTTTAGTTTATCAATTTCTTTCGTGGATCATGCCTTTGGTGTTGAATTTTAAAAAGTCATTGTGAGACTCTGCCAAAGAACTATTAGAATGAATTCAGTGAACTCACCGGATACAAAATTAACAGACAGAAATCAGTTGCTTTTCTATACACTAATAATGAAGCAGCAGAAAGAAACATTTAAAAAGCAATCTATCATTTATTTTAACCCCAGCAAAAACCACTGGGGAAACTTGCACCTAATGGCATTTAGAATCTGATCTTCTCATGAGATGTTGATGATACAAAACCATGTAGTAGAGTCACCTTGGTGGTTTTGTTCCTGCTTAAACACCACAACTTCAGACACAGGTTTGGTGCCTATCAATGTGTCAAAGTCTATATTGGAAAGAACTCTGGGACATCAATTATCTGTTTCACCTCTTTGAGTATCAGTTTCTTCATCTGTGAAATGGGGATTAAAATTCCCATTTTTGTGGGGTTGTTGGGATTGTTCATGACAATATCTATATGGAGTCCCTGGCTCATCATAAGGGCTCAGTGCCAGCTATTGCTCTTTGTGGGGTTATTCGCATGCATCCAAGTGCTCAATTTAGGACTCTTTGTGACACTGACACTCCCTTTGGCAAAGAAGTTATAGATAAAATCCTAGCTTCCAATTTGCTATTTAATGAGCCACTAAGCATGGAGAAAGGAGGATGGAAGAAAAGGGAATAATTTCCTAAGTGCTACGTGCCAGGTACCATGCTGGGTACTTGGCATTTCCCGTTGCGCCTGGAAGGCATCATGCTGGGAGTGGTGGAGGCAGGGAGTCTCGGCACAGAAGTTGTGCAGGGCGTCTGAGCTGCCCCAGGGGCTGGCGTGAGGCCTGCCGCCGGAGCCCGGGCCCCTTCATTGCAGAGATATTTTTAAAAGGAACCCGTGCTTCTTTCCCTTTGACCGCGGTACGTCACTAACTCCCATGCGAGCTTAGACGTGTGGATACGGCGCTTGCAGCACAGATCTGAGCAAGACGGCGGCAAGAGGAGCACTTGTGTCCTGACCGTGTCAGGCCGGTTGTGTTAGGGTGGTCAGGCTGCAATGGACAAGCAGGGAAATGAAGGCACTCCAGGGCTAACCGCTGTCCGTACACGGCATATTTTAAAAATGTTTTTATTGAATATTAAACAGTTACAAGTACTGTTAGACATTTAGCCAAAGCACAGTTACAGGTTAAATATAATCATAAAGATGTCTTAAATAGAAACCCACCATGCAGGCAGGTGACGTTCCTTGATGCCCTCATTTGGAAAGTAGAAGGCGAGGAAAAAAGGTCTTCTGTTCCACGTGAAAGACAGTAAAGACTAGAAGAATTTACATGCTGTAAGCGATTTCCCAGGACCCAGTTGATAGGGTTGCCAGATTCAGTAAAACAAAATAAAACAAAGCGAAAAGCCAGGATTCTTGAATTTCAGATAATGAGAAACATTTTTTATTTATCATCATATATATATATGTGCCAAATAGTGCATGAAACATATTTAAACTACAAAATTATTTATCTAAAATTCAAATGTAACTGGGTGCCTTGTGTTTCACCTGGCAATCCTACACATGGACGAATGCAAAAAAGCAAAGCGAGGGGACTGGAACCCCCCTGCCACTGGTGGGTCACAGAGAGACTAAAAATAAAAACAACACCGATAATGAGCCAAGGAGTCACTACGATGGTAACGCACACAGACCAAGGTCACAATGGGATCGTACGATCACTACTCCAAATGCTGTTGCCGGGAAACACTCTTAGATTTCCTCAAAGCTGGTTTTGTAAATGTTTTTGAGAAACCTCACTGATAAAAGTACCTTTAGAGTGTGCAGCTATCAAAGACAAATACTACTACAACTAAGACAGCTGATCCTGAAACAATGGAAGCAGAAGCAGGTATTGTATGCACATGAAGAGCTTAAATATTTTGTGTGATGAATACAATGGTTATAGGGTCAAGGTCACCTTCTAGGTTGAGGCTATTAATCTCAAAGATTTTGGTTCTGTTCCTACTGCTGTTTTCTAGCTCCTCATCCTGAACCTTGGGGGTGGGGTGGGCATGGGAGTGTGAGAGATACCCCGCTACCAGAGTTTTCCTGCGTTTCTCTGCAAACACTCTCAATCAACAAAGGGCTTTCAGGGCTGCCTGCGGAAATGCACAGAGAGATGTAAAAGTAGCAAAACGATCTGAATTGTGGAGCACAAGAAATCTGTTTGAAAAGAAGAGTGGTCAGGTGAGCGACAGCATAAAGCAGAAAAGAAAACCTGAATGAAGGAAGAGTCCAAATGCAGTCACCTGTGCGGCGTGAATGTTATTTCAAAGGGGGCGGGACCTCTGGCAGATGTAGAAAACTGGTCACACTGTGAGCGGGTTTGGTCTCCTGGGGCATAAAATCTGGAGCTTCCTACTGCCCTTCACTCATAACCATGGCTTATGAGGAGAAAACAGCTTGGGCACCGCTCAGGTACCACATGGTATCACTTCATGAGATGCTGCTGTGTCCACCCCCTCCCCTCTCCTAATGCTGACTAGGTTTCGAAATCTTGCTAGCATTTCTTTAAACCAGAATATCTGCTTGTCCAGGAACTTCAAGCATGGAGAAATCGGGAGGGATTGATTAGATCTGCTCCTTGGCATCTAAGGGAGCCATTACTTGTGAAATAGGTACCCTCATCACATCAGCTTTATGGGTGTGACGTACATACATGGAGACACACCCGACTGACGCCTTTCAAACACTAAGAAATGGAATTCCAACTTCTTATTTATTAGACTATAAAAGGTTAAAAAGTTTCTGCCATAGTTAAGGCTTTTTCTTTCTTAAGAAGAAACACTTAATTGTCTATTAATTTCAGAATGCACAAGGTATCCCAAGGTGCCTCATGCTTTAGGGCGGCTTTTCAGGAAACCATTTCCTATTCACGTGCTGTGTCCGATCAAAGCTCACATGTTATCGTCCCCATTACTTTCTTTTCCTTTTTCTGTCACTGATTTGACATCGAACAAGTTTAAGTTTAGTCTTTAAGTGAATTTCTAACACGGGGGACCCTATCTTAATGTCGGTTTGGAGTGTTCCCCAAATGACCGAAGTCTATAGCCCCGTGGAAGGAAGAAAACTGCCCGACGGAAAACATGGCAAGAAGGCCGCTTAGCACACGTGATCATACGAGTGGGCTCTGGCCACACTGGAGGCGAGGTGCGTGGGCACACACCCCACTTCTGTTCGCCAGGCTGCTTACAGGGGTTGGGGGAGCGTGCATGTAGGGAAGGGAGGGCAAGCAATGGCCACCGGCCCCTGTGCACTTGGCAGCTGGACTGGCATAAAGAACAACCCAGGCAATCTAGTGCCTTCCACTGCTGCTCTTCCAGAACACACCGAGGTGTCAGTTTTTGTATAAAGACTATAATAATAGAATATTAATCTCTATTACTTCATTTGCCATGTTCAGGCATTTCTCTATGTCAATGCACTTTGCTATTTTGAGAGCAAAAGGAAGCTAATCTAGCCGCTGACATCAAGCTCAAGGGGCACCAGGAGGCTGTCGTGAAAACCTCCCAATACTACGTATTCTACTTATGTTACTGAAAAGCTAGAAATTCCAAATTGCAAGAAGGAAAAGGTAAATAAGAATTCTGGTTGTACTGTTAATATTTTGCATAGAAGTAAAACTCTGGCTTCCACGCTGACGTTTGTTAACAAACTGGCAGAATCTCCGGAGCAAAGCCCCGGGGAGCCTCCTACTGGACCCGGCTGTGCTACGGAAGCAGAAGTACAGTCTCCTTTTGCAAGACTCAAGATGAAGAAAGGAGGAAAGTGAGTGGGGTCAAAGGTAACTACGGGAGTTACTTATAGTTCCAGACTAGCAACCTGAGGAAGAGGGAAGAAGGCCAAGTGCAAGGAGTGTCCAGGGCCCTCAACTTAGGAGCGAAGAACGCAGCCGGCAATACCCAGGAAACCGGCAGCGTCGCGCTGGAAGATTTGCCTTTAGAAGTGCAGTAAGGCTGGCGGAGGTGTTCAGATCCTCTCTTCCATTCGGTTTGGGAAAGCATAAGGGCAAGTTCAGGGGAGGCCACACTGGAGTCCTCCAGGTGCCAGCGCTCCTCTAGAGTACACGTGCAAGACAGCAAATGGATTTCAGCCTAAGTGAATGCCATGCTTTTATATTCCAAAGGGATGTTCACGCTGCTATGGATGGAAGTTCCAAATGGAATCAACTGTTACTAACTTGTGGGCACTCATGATGACCTTTGGTTTTCAAGTTTTGAAAAAATGTATTTGGCTCCTGTGAAATATGAACTAACCCATTCTCTTAGCAGATGAATAATAGATACACATTCTTTCGACAACGACTATACACTGGAATCATTACAAGCACTGCAGTGTCTTCCTTACACAAGTACCTTTACTCGGCACACGCAGCATCGGATACAGAACGTCGGCAGGTTAGATACTGAACCACAGTTTGACTTCTCGAGTGTGAGGCTGAAGTTTAACACATCCATTAATCTAGTTAGTACGATGGAAACAACATATAACCACAGTTGAACAGCGGCTTATCTTTTTAATAAAGCCATAAAGCTTTTGGTATCTATACCATATTAACCCTTTTACTGAACTAAAAATCACAGCCATGTTTTACCATTTTAAACTATTTCTAAGTGAGGAGGCAAGTGTCATCCACTTTCACAGCTACTGAAAACGATACGGATGCCATTCCTCCGACCCGTTGTCACAGAAAAAAAGAAGGAAAGGAGGAAAAAAGCCCTCTTAACAAATATTAAACTCCGAAGCTTCGTATGGAATTCTAGTGCTATTACACAGGTAGCCAAGACACGGACACCCAGCAAGGGTCACTAAAACTTCAACAGAAGCAACGACTGAGGTTAATTCTTGATTTCATTTTGAGGACCCATGCAAGATTCTGCTATAAAACTCAAACTAGTTCCTGATGCCTAGTTCTAGTGCTGGACGTAAGCCAAAAAGAAAGCTAAGTGCATATTTTAAGAGCCTATTCTAGAATTTTTGCAGGTAACCATTTTATTTTCCTTCAGGAGATTAACTGAGGTCACAGCCTAATCAGCCTGCATAAAAAAACAAATTCGTTTCCAGAACTTGAAGTTGAAACGGCAAGTTTGTGTCACACTGTTTTTCCTTTTTTTCTCTAATCACATTTATGTTACTTTTGCTTCAAAGCTGAGCAGATGAACGGCATGTCAAAGTAAGTGAGTTATGCAGCCAATTTGATATTTAGTTCAGGTGAAAAGGGCGAGTGTAAAAACTGGAATGGGTAATCTTTTACGAGCATTGATGTGCACCAGGCAAATATTGATTAAAACACGCAAAACAAAGTAGTAATTTCCTGCAGAAACAGTACAGTATTTCTCCACTGCAATTACAAAAATAACCGAATAGAGCTTTGGTTTCAGTATTCTCCTTGTCTGTTGAGAAGTTTGAAGAAATGGTTTGAAAATGTAGTGTAGGGACCTCTGTAAACTACCGGAAGCACCTCACTCAAAATAACCCCCAATCTGGAGTAAATGCAACCGTCCCTGCGCATCTATCTACTAAGGAGGATGTGAATCCTAGCTTTCTGGACTGGAGAAACCATAAAGATTTTTGTGACTCTAATGAAGTATAATAATTCCACTGAATTTGGAAATAAGGCAGCTAATTTTGGGGGCGACTATTCTGGCAGTCCGGGTCAAGCAAGAGAAGTACTTTTTCTTTGAGGAGGCCCTGGGATCCTTTCCTGCAGCGATATCCTGGAACCCCTATCCTGGAACCCCAAGGTCCTCCCACGTGTCAGTGGGGGCCCCCACGCACTGCCCTTTCCCTGGCTGCACTCTCCTCGCTCTCCGCACTAGGCACCCTCCCTCCCAACGCCCCCCAGGCAGGCTGAGAAGGAAAGAGCAGGGCCCACCAGAAGCTTCCATGCCTTCTCTGAGCCTGCATGCTCCTAAGTCAGTCTGACCTTTGTGCCTTTCCCCTATAAGAGGACACTAAAACCTGATGTTTTTCCTTCCCAACCCGATTCACAATGGTAAGAAGTACAGATAGGAAATAGATCAAAGTGAAAAAAAAAAGGGGAAACTAAGTCTCGCTCAGCCAGAAGCTTGTGTTGCGTTGCTAATGATTTTAGTCAGTGTGACTTTGTGCAAAATATCCTCGAGAAGGCTCTGGCTCATTTTCAAAGTAAACAAAAACACACGCACACACCAAAAAAAAAAAAAAAAAACAAAAGGGAAAAGAAAAAGAATGATGCATGTTTAGAAAACATTTAAAATGAGCCTGACATATGTATTTGTTACATACACGTGCCATATATAACAAAGCAAACGTAGTGTGTATATTGTGAAATTTGGGGAAGTACATGTTATGTTTTTTTTTCCATTTCCAAGACCAGATCAAGGCAATCTTGTTTGAGAAATGGACAATTGCAATGCAAATGAGCCTGAGATATGTCAAAAGGCCGCCCCTGTAAACATTTCCTCAAAGGGAACAGTAGCAGTTGAGTATGTATCAGTTACTCATACTATCCTCATCACTATCGCAATGCTTTATAAAAGACAAACAGCTTATTTCTAGGCTGTCAGGGATTTACGGAGTATTGATTTTGTTGGAAACAATCCACTGTAATCCAGTCCCAAGTTTAAATCCGATCTGGCCTTTCCCCGGGGGGCCTTCACTAGGTCTTCTGCTCTGCGGCTGTGGCGGTTTGCGAAGGAGCTTCTGGCTTCATGATCTGGTACGTGATGAGATACTCTGGGTAGGCCTGCAGAGGACAGTAAGGGAACAAAGCACTCCTTCAGCGGGTATGATAGCACGTGGGTGTCTCAGAGGCCGTAGTTCACCATCACGATTCTATATAGACCCAAAATCCTGCAGAGGCCAGCCAATCAATAGGTGCTTAAGTCACACACACACACACACACACACACACACACACACACACACACACACACGATCTACCTGTCTCTTGTACATAAACATATACAGACCCTCTGATCTGGAGAACCGTTTTAATGTTATCTCCACTTTGAGTACTTTAAAGTGTTGCATTCACCTGTCACGCACAAGCCACTCACAGGAAAGCTAAGGCGGGAGAAAATCTCTCTCTGTCACATAGCATATGTTTAATACAGTTTGTTAAGTCAAAGAGTAATTTGGCCAAATCGATTTCAAATTAATTTCCAACTAATGAATCACAAACAGAACGTACTGCACGAGAAGGAGGAAGAGTGAGGCCTGTGGAGTCACTAGTTGAGTAGAGGCAACAGTCTGGAGATAATGTTTTAAAAGGTAACTAATGAAAGGTAACTTTTACAGGTAACGTAATGGTTCAGATTTAGACCCTCTACCCCAAAAATTCTCTCTTTCCTCTTTTTCTTGTAGTACATAATGAAAGGCTCAGTATCTGGAGTGAGAAGAGTACTTCTTAGGGGAAGTTGTTACAGACCGTCACCAGAAGTCATTACTAAGACAACTGAGTGGGGGGCAAAACCCCTTAATACCCATGTGCACAACAGAGGAGTCTTCAACCCTAAATATAATGAGACAGCTAGATGCAGTATTTCAGAGCACTCTTGGGATGGAAACTAGTATCTGTGGGTAGGTAAATGTTTTGGGCCCAAAAATAATTTGCTGAATGCTGACTTACAAATTACTTGTATATAGATATGGAATAATAATTTAAATAAGGATAAAAAAACCTGGACTTTAAAAAGATATATGAACATCTATGTTCACTGCAGCACTATTTACAGTAGCCAAGCAAGAAGCAACTTTAGTGTCCATCGACAGATGAAACGATAAAGGTGTGGTGTATATACGTGTGTGTGTGTGTGTGTATATATGTATATATATGTGTGTGTGTGTATATATGGAATATTACTCAGCCATTAAAAAAAAAGGAGATCTTGCCATTAGGGACAATATGGATGGCCTTAGAGGTATTTCCTGAGTGAAGTAAGTCAGGCAGAGAAAGAAAAATACCACAGTGCTTTCACTTATATATGGAATCTAAAAAACAAAACAAAACAAAACAAACGCAAGAAAATGCTAGCAAACCAAATCCAACAATACATTATAAAAGTCATTCACCACAATCAAGTGGGATTCATTCTTGGGTTGCCAGGGTATTAATATTCATAAAAAAGGCCATATATGTAAAGTCCACAGCTGACATCATCCGCAATAATGTAAAAACCGAGAGCTTTCCCCGTAAGATCAGGAACAAGACAAGGATGTCTGCTCTCACCATTTTTATTCGACATAGTACTGGAAGTCGTAGCACAGCCATCAGATAACACAAAGAAGTAAGAGGCATCCTAATTGGCAATGAACAAGTAAAACTTTCACTATTTGCAGATGACAAACTATGCTATATTCTACACTATCTGTATTTAGAAAGCCCTAAAGACTCCACCCCAATCTGCTAGAATTGGTAAATGAATTCAGTAAAATTGCAGCATACAATGTACATAAATCTGTTGCATTTCTATACATCGACAATGAAGCAGCAGAAAGAGAAATTAAGAAAACAATCCCATTTACAACTGCACCAAAAATAATAAGATATCTAGGAAGGGGGCGCCTGGGTGGCTTAGTCGGTTAAGCGTCCGAATTTCGCTTAGGTCATGATCTCGCGGTTTGTGGGTTCGAGCCCCGCGTCGGGCTCTGTGCTGACTGCCAGCTCAGAGCCTGCAGCCTGCTTCAGAGTCTGTGACTCCCTCTCTCTCTGACCCTCCCCTGCTCACGCTGTCTCTCTCTCTCCTAGAAATAAATAAAAATATTTAAAAAAAAAAAAAAAAAAGATATCTAGGAAGGTAGCTTATAACCAAATAGGTGAAAGACCTATACTCTGAAAACTATAAAACACTAATGAAAGAAACTGAAGATGATACAAAGAAATGGAAAGACATTCCATTCCATTCCATGCTCATGGATTGGAAGAACAAATATTGTTAAAATGTCTACACTACCCAAAGCCATCTATATATCTAATGCAATTCCTATCAAAGTATCAAAAGCATTTTTCACAGAACTAGAACAAACCATCGTAAAATTTAAAAGGAACCACAAAAGACTCTGAACAGCCAAAGTCATCTTGAAAAAGAAAAGCAAAGCTGGAGGCATCACAGACTTCAGGCTACATTACAAAGCTGTAGTGACAAAAACAGTAAGATACCCGCACAAAAACACACTGATCAGTGGAACAGAACAGAAAACCCAGAAATAAACCCACAGTTATATGGTCAATTAATCTTCAACAAACCAGGCAAGAATATCCAATGGGAAAAAGATGATCTCTTCAACAGTGTTGGGAAAAATGGACAGTAACATGCAAAAAAAAAAAAAAAAGAAACTGAACCACTTTATTATACCATACACAAAAATAAAATTCAAAATGGATTAAAGACCTAAATGTGAGACCTGAAACCATAAAAATTAAAAAAAATTTTTTTTTAATGTTTTATTTATTTTTAGGAGAGAGAGAGAGAGACAGCGTGAGCAGGGGAGGGTCAGAGAGAGAGGGAGTCACAGGCTGAAACAGGCTCCAGGCTCTGAGCTGGCAGTCAGCACAGAGCCCGACGCGGGGCCCGAACCCACGAACTGCGAGATCATGACCTAAGCGAAAGTCGGACGCTTAACCGACTAAGCCACCTAGGCGCCCCATGAAACCATAAAAATTTTAGAAGAGAGCACTGGCAATAATTTCTCTAACACTGACCATAGCAATTTTTTTCTAGGTATGTCCCTTGAGGCAAGGGAAACAAAAGCAAAAATGAACCGCTGGGATTTCATCGAATGGGAGAAGATATTTGCAAATGACATAGCCGATAAAGGGTTAGTATCCAAAATATATATAAAAAAACCCATGCAACTCAACACCCTCAAACCAAATAATCCAATTTAAAAAATAGGAAAAAGACATGAACAGACATTTGTCCAAAGAATACTTCCAGATGGCCAACACACATATGAAAAGATGCTCATTATCACGTATCATCAGGGAAATGCAAATAAAAACTATATGAGATATCACCTCACACCTGTCAGAATGACTAGAATCAAGAACATATGAAACAACAGGTGGTGGCGAGGATGTAGAGAAAAAGTAGCCATTGTGTGCTGTTGATGGGAATGCAAACTGGTGTAGTCACTGTGGAAAACAGTATGGAGGTTCCTCACAAAATTAAAAAAAAACACTACGCGGGGCACCTGGGTGGCTCAGTCGATTAAGCGTCCGACTTCGGCTCAGGTCATGAGCTCACAGTTCGTGGGTTCGAGCCCCGCGTCGGGCTCTGTGCTGACAGCCAGCTCAGAGCCTGGAGCCTGTTTTCGATTCTGTGTCTCCCTCTCTCTCTGACCCTCCCCTACTCACACTGTCTCTGTCTCTGTCTCTGTCTCTCTCTCAGAAATAAATAAAATAGAAAAAAATAAAAAATAAAAAAACACTACGCTATGATCTAGCAATCACACTATTGGGTATTTACCCAAAGAATACAAAACATTAATTCAAAGGGATATATGTACCCTGATGTTTATAACAGCATTATACCAAAGTGTCCACTGACTGATGAATGGATAAACAAGAAGTGGTATATACATATACAATGGAATATTACTCAGCCATAAAAAAGAATGAAAGCTTGCCATCCGCAAAGACGTGGATGGGGCTTGAGAGCATAATGCTAGAATGAAAGAAGTCAGTCAGAGAAACACAGATACCACAGGATTTCACTCATATGTGGAATTTGAGAAAGAAAACAAATGAGCAAAGGGAAAAGGAGAGACAAACCAAGAAACAGACCCTTAACAATGGTTACAGAGGGGCAGTGGGTGAGGGGATGGGTGAAATAGGTGGTGGGGATTAGGGAGTGCACTTGTTGTGATGAGCACTGGTGATGGATGGAAGTGTGGAATCACTATAATGTACACCTGAATCTAAGAATACACTGTATGTTAACTGACTGATATTTAAATAAAGTCTTAAAAAAAAAAAACTTAAACAAAACAAACCAACCCAGCCTCACAAATGCAGAGAATAAGCTGGTGGTTGCCAAATGGGAAGGAGGCGAGGGGACGGGAGAAATAGGGGACAGGCATTAAGAGGTACAACATTCTAGTTATTTAAGTAAGTAGTGGGGGTGAAAAGTGCAGCATAGAGAATACAGCTGATAAACAAGAAAAAAACCTGGACTGTTGAATACTTAAAATGCAGAAGTAAACATATAGTTGACTCACTAAATTACTTCTTTCTAATTTTACCTCTGATTTTTAGGAGGCAGAAACTGTTACAGGTCTTTGCCTCCACTTTCTTCATCTATACAGGGGATCAGTAATAATACTAAGATTTTTGTGAGGATTAAATACAAAGATCTTAGAATGGGTTTGGCCTACTGAGAATCTAGTATGTATAAGTCGTCACAATTCACAGTATGATGATGATGTATTAAAGACAAGTCCCTCCTGAGAGGGTCTCAGCAAGACTAAAAAGAACAAAAAATGTACATGTTTTTAAGTTGTAACTGTGTACACATGTAAGGAAACACCATCACTCATAATATTCTTTCCTGAAATTCTAGTCTGCTCTGGTTTGCCTTAAAAACAGCAATGGTTTCTTATCTTCTTAGTACCTCTAGTTGGAATAACACCGTTAACAATCTTCATCTCTTCTGACTTTCCAATCTGAAGCTTCCATAACTAAAAAGTTTGTAGTCTTATTTTATTATGATTTGAACACTGCTTAATTCCTGAAATGGTTTTAAA